TTTTTTTTTTTTTTGTTTTCTACCTTGTACTCCTCGGTGCCCTGCAGGAGCTGTTTGAGTTTGGCATCCAGCTGGGTGAAGCGACGGGTTATCCGCTCTATCCGGGCGTGTAAATCCCGGTACTCGTTGTACTCGGCGTTGAAATCGTTCTTGTAGCTCTGACGCTGCTCCGAGGAGGAAATGGCTGCGTATTTTCTGTGGGGGAGGGAAAAAAAAAAGAGATTTTGGTCAATGGGTTTTGGGGGAATTGTTTGGGTTTTGGGGGAATTGGTTTGGGTTTTGGGAGAAGTGGTTTTGGGGGAATGGTTTGGGTTTTGGGGGCAATTCCCTGTGGGGATGTAGGGTTTGGTCAATGGGTTTGGGGGAATTGGTTTTGGGGGAATTGGTTTGGGTTGTGGGGGCAATTCTCTGTGGGGATGTGTATTTTCTGCAGGAGGAGTTAAAAATGAGGTTTTGGGGGAATTGGTTTGGGGATGTGTATTTTCTGTGGGGGGAGGGAAAAAAAAAAGAGATTTTGGTCAATGGGTTTGGGGGAATTGGTTTGGGGTTTTGGGGGCAATTCTCTGTGGGGATGTAGGGTTTGGTCAATGGGTTTGAGGGGAATTGGTTTGGGGGGAAAATTCTCTGTGGGAATGAGTATTTTCTGCAGGGGGAGGAAAAAAAAGAGATTTTGGTCAATGGGTTTGGGGGAATTGGTTTGGGTTGTGGGGGCAATTCTCTGGGGATGCGTATTTTCTGGGGGGGAGGGAAAAAAAAAGAGATTTTGGTCAACGGGTTTTGGAGGAATTGGTTTTGGGGAAATTGGTTTGGGTTTTGGGGGAATGGGTTTGGGTTTTGGGGGAATCTTCTGTGGGGATGTGTATTTTCTATGGGGGAGGGAAAAAAAAAGAGGGGTTTGGTCAATGGGTTTGGGAGAATTGGTTTGGTTTGGGGGAATTAGTTTGGGTTCTGGAGGAGTTGGTTCGTGTTTGGGGAATTGTTCTGGGTTTTGGGGAGCTGGTTTGTTTTCAGGGAGTTGGTTTGATTTGGGGGAATTGTCTGGTTTTGGTCAATAGTTTTGGATCTCCTCCCGCCCTGCCCAGCCCTGCAGCAGCACAGGCAGCACACAGGGCTCAATGCCTCGAGCTGCTGTCACACAAACCCCATTTATTGCTCCTGGGTGCTCTCAGGGTGGGGAAGGGCAGCTCTGGGTGGGGAAGGGCAGCTCTGGGGTGGGGAAGGGCAGCTCTGGGTGGGGAAGGGCACTCTCAGGGGTGGGGGAGGACACCCCAATGGTGCTGCCACAGCTCCTCCCACCCACAGAACACCGAGTTCTGCACGGGGAGTGCAGTGTCACAGTGTCACAGCTTCAAAGGGACAGCAGAGCACGGAGCCATCGCTGCCAGGCCCTGGGGTGGCAAAGAGCCCCCAGGAGCTTTTTTTCCACCACTGATTCCATTTCCAGCACCTTCCGGAGATGCTGGAGCTGCCCTGAGCTCAGGCTGAACTGAGGGGCCTTTTTTAAATAATTCTGCTCCACAAAAACCATGAAAAGTTGGGATTTACAGCCCTTTCTGAAGGTAAAACCCATCTTTTGGCAGGTGAGGGCTCCAATTCGCCTCCTGCTCTGGCTGCAGCAGGGCCAGGATGTGGAAAATGCTCCTGAAGTGCTTCAAAAATTTACAGGAGATAACCTTGAACTCCTTAAGGAGGTAAAACCCAGCCTTGATACCAAGTTTAGCCTCAAAAACCTGCAAAGTTTAACCTCAAAAACCTGCAAAGTTTAACCTCAAAAACCTGCAAAGTTTAGTCTCAAAAACCTGCAAAGTTTAGCCTCAAAAACCTGCAAAGTTTTGTCTCAAAAACCTGCAAAGCTGGGTTCACCCTTTTTTCTGACACCCACCTCACAAATTCCACCAAATAACACAAAAAGTCCAACCAAAATCCTCACCATAATGTGATTTTTTTTTTTTTAGCCCAAAACACGATCCCAAAGTGATGAAACAACCGATAAAATGTACTTACAATAAATAATCTGGCATTTCTGAAGTTGATGTTGGGACACTAGAGTTATTGCATGTTCCATTTAAACCTGAAAAAATAAAGATTTGTTTATAGATGTTCTTAAAACTTCAAAGTGCTTTGAGATTCGGCCTGGAGCTTGTAAAACTCGTCTGCAATGCGGAGTTTAAGGAATTTTAAAGGATTTCTGTTTTGTTTGGAAGGGACAGAGGCAGAGGAGCCACCACAAGGTGCCTGAGAGTTCAAGGCTCCTCCAGTATTTGTCTGTCAGCAAAACAACCCCAGAATCGGCCAGAGCATTGAGAAGCAAAAAAAAAAAAATGAATTTAATTGGGATAAACATTGCCTGGAGTGGGATAACACCGATAGCACCGCTGGGAACGGGGAAAAACATCCCTGAGTGGGGCTGGGAGAGGGGAAAAGCTGCTTTGTTCCTAATCCTGCACTGCAGAGTGCTCTGGGGAGATCAGGGGGAGATCCCTGAGTGAAACACCCCAAAGTGCTGAGGGGTTTGTAGGGGGTGCAGGGCTCACCCCACACGGCCCCAAAAACAAACATGGGTGTGGGGTCAGATGGGAATGTTTGGGAATGGGAGAGGAGGGGGCAAAAACCTTGGGAAGAGAGGAAAAATCCCAACCTAGGAATAATCCCAACCCAGATACCCCCAAACGCTGCAGGGTGAATGGGGAGGAAGAAGAGCAAAACCCTTGGGAAAAGTGGAAAAATCCCAACCCAAATCCCCCATAACACTGCAGGGTAAACGGGGAGGAACATGAGCAAAACCCTCAGGAAGAGTGGAATAATCCCAATTTAGGAATAATCCCAACCCAGAGTCATCCCCCACATCCACAGAATCCTGCAGGGTTAAAGGAGAGGAAGAAGAGCAAAACTCTCAGGAAAAGTGAAATGATCCCAACTCAGATCCCCCATAACACTGTAGGGTTAATGGGGAGAACAAGAGCAAAACCCTTGGGAAGAGAGGAATAATCCCAAATAATCCCAGAGTCATCCCCCACATCCACAGGACCCTGCAGGGTTAATGGAGAGGAAGAAGAGCAAAACCCTCGGGAAAAGTGAAATGATCCCAATTCAGATCCTCCACAACACTATAGGGTTAATGGGGAGGAAGATGAGCAAAACCCTTGGGAAGAGTGGAATAATCCTAAACCAAATCTCCCCAAACACTGCAGGGTTAAAGGAGAGGAAGAAGAGCAAAACCCTCAGGAAAACAGGAATAATCCCAACTCAGATCCCCCAAACACTGCAGGGTTAATGGGGAGGAAGATGAGCAAAACCCTTGGGAAGAGTGGAATAATCCCAATTTAGGAATAATCCCAACCCAGAGTCATCCCCCACATCCACAGAACCCTGCACGGTTAATGGAGAGGAAGAAGAGCAAAACCCTCAGGAAAATTGGAATAATCCCAACCCAGATGCCCCCAAACACTGCAGGGTTAATGGGGAAGAACAAGAGCAAAACCCTCGGGAAAAGTGAAATGATCCCAATTTAGGAATAATCCCAACCCAGAGTCATTCCCCATATCCACAGGACCCGACAGGGTTAATGGGGAGGAAGAAGAGCAAAACCCTTGGAAAGAGAGGAATAATCCCAACCCAGATCCCCCCAAACACTGCAGGGTGAACGGGGAGAAACAAGAGCAAAACTCTCGGGAAAAGTGGAATAATCCAAATTTAGGAATAATCCCAACCCAGATACCCCCAAACACTGCAGGGTTAATGGGGAGGAACAAGAGCAAAACCCTCAGGAAAAGTGGAATAATCCCAACCCAGATCCCCCATAACACTGCAGGGTAAATGGGGAGGAAGATGAGCAAAACCCTCGGGAAAACAGGAATAATCCCAACCCAGAGTCATCCCCCACATCCACAGGACCCTGCAGGGTAAATGGGGAGGGAGAGGGAGTTGGATCCACTTTTGGAAAGGGATTTTGCTCCCCACCAGCTCCGTGTTCCATTCCCAGCCCTCTCCAGAGTCAGCACTGACCCTCAAACAGATTTTCAGGATTTTCCCCTGAATTCCCACCCCAGCAAGGATGGGACAATGGCACCACAAACCCAAAGTTTCCAAACCCAAACCCACCCCAAATTCCCCATTCTGCTTTTCCTCCTCTCCCACCACAGCGTGCAGAGCTGAAGGAGGAAGGAAAAGGACCCAGGGAGGTTTATTTTGCCTGTGAGTGCCATCTACTGACTGAAAGGACCCCAAAGGTCCTTCCAGAACTTCAGGAACGAAATTTCCAGGAGAAACTCCCACTCCTGGCACGAGGTGTCCCTGCTCACGGCAGGGGTGGAACCAGAGGAGCTTTAAGGTCTTTCCAACCCAAATTTTTTGTGATTTTCTGTTTTCTCCAGCCCCAGAGGAGCAGGGTGAGGCTGGTGCTGCCCACAGCAAGGCAAGGAATGAAAATATCCCAGTGCTGGATGCTCAGGATCCCAGCAGGAGTGAGCACATTGTCCTGTTGGGGATGGATCCCAAATCCAAATCTGATATCTCCAAACAGCAGCAGGAACAAAACCCAGCTCTTATTAATCACAAAAAAACCAGGAATTAAACTGTGAAGTGAAGCAGGAAAGGTGGTGGAGGCTCAGCAACTTTCCAAGGAAAGAATCTGGGGGATTTCTAAGAAACGCTGACAAAAATATGTTTAAAAAAGAGAAGGGGCAGAACCACAGAACCACTTCCCGTTGGGGAGGAGAAACAACGTGGAAGGGAAAAAAAACATTCACAGAAAAACGGGGGATTGACACAGAAATGAGGAATTGTCAGTTCTGAAGTGACACAAAATTCTGTGGGGAAGGGGAGGATGGGAACAGCTCCACCCCAACACCCTGAGCAGCTCTGCCCTCCCAGCAAATTCATCTCCATTTCACGATATTTCCCTTTTGGAACCCAAAATGAGGGGTTTTCACACACCCAGCGTGCAGAGGAATGCAGAAAGCAGCAATGGGGTGAAGGGAAATGCAAAAARGGATTTCACAGATAATCCCAGAGGCTGCAGGGAAGTCCCAGCAGGACAAGGAATGGATGAAGCAGCCACGAAAAATCCTCTGCTCTGACTTCCAGGAGAGCACAGACCTRACTCTGAAACAGTGGCTCGATGGAAAATATTTTCAAACCCCCTCAGTGGAGAATCACTGCTGTGTCAGTCCCTGAATTAAGGAGTTCAGTGGGATTAATTCAGGAATTCCCAGCTCTASTGGGATGCAGGGAAGCTTTTCCAGCCTGGGAGAGCTGGTTCCCCAGTGCTTCAGCAGCATTCATCACCACATTTATCTATCACTGCTTTTGCAGCCAATATTAAAGGCTTTTGYGAGTAAGTTGTCATTAAAGTTGTCATTAAAATCTGAAGTAGAGTCACCCCAACAGCAGCACAAGGCCGGGAGGGAGCTGCCAGCAGCACCCAGGGGAAACAGGAAAAACCTGCTGRGCCCTGGGACAGGGAGGAAACAGCTCTGGGGATCTGCAGAGAGCACAGGAGAGGGTGTTGGGATGGCAGAGCATGGGATGGCACAGGAGGAGCGGCCTCATCCTGTACGGGGTCCTGGAAGAAGGGCTGGGATTGTGGGATCAGAGCTGGGATCAGAGGTGGGATCACCCCTGGGAGCAGGGCTGGGATTGTGGGATCACCCCTGGGATGAGAACTGGGATTGTGGGATCATCCCTGGGATCATGGCTGGGATTGTGGGATCAGAGCTGGGATCATGGCTGGGATCAGAGCTGGGACTGTGGGATCAGAGCTGGGGTCACAGCCAGGATCAGAGCTGGAATCATGGCGGGGATTGTGGGATCACCCCTGGGATCAGAGCAGGGATCATCCCTAGGATCCTGGGATCACGGCTGGGATCATCCCTGGGATCACAACGGGGATCATCCCTGGGATCAGAGCTGGAATCATGGCGGGGATTGTGGGATCATCCCTGGGATCAGAGCAGGGATCAGAGCTCGGATCATCCCTGGGATCACCCCTGGGATCAGAGCAGGATCTTGGGATCACCCTCTAGGATCACAGCCTCACAGCCAGGATCACCCCCAGGATCACCCCTGGGATGAGAGTCAGGATCCTGGGATCACCCTGGGATCACCCCAGGATCACAGTCAGAATCACTCCAGAATCATCCCCAGGATCACCCCAGGGATCTGAGTCAGGATCCTGGGATCACCCCTGTGAACACCCCCAGGATCACAGCCCAGAATCAACCCCAGGATCACCCCTGGGATCATAATCAGGATCCTGGGATCACCCTTTGAACACCCCCAGGATCACAGCCTTAGAGCCAGGATCACCCCAGGGATCACCCCAGGATCACCCTGTAAACACCCCCAGGATCACGGCCCAGAATCATCCCCAGGATCACCCCTGGGATCAGAGTCAGAATCAACCCCAGGATCACCCCTGGGATCAGAATCAGGATCCTGGGATCACCCTGTGAACACCCCCAGGATCACAGTCAGAATCACCCCAAGATCACCCATGAACACCCCCAGGATCACCCCAGGATCACCCCACAACCCTCTCACAACCCCCACTCACCTGGGACCTGTTCCTGGGCAACACTAACTAAATCAGCATTTTTTATTACTTCACAGTTCTGCTTCTCCTCTTTACACTTCTCCTCTCCTTTCTTCTCCTTCCTCTCCTTCTCCTTGTCTTTGTGCTTTTTGGATTTTTTCTTGGATTTGACGTAGGAGCCGCAGTTGTGTTTGCTGCTCTGGGCACAGTCTGTGGGCAGGGGGTGGCTCAGTCTCTCGGGAGGCTCCGTGCTCTCACAGTCTCTGCCGTTGTGGCTCAGATCGTTGCTGACATCTGCCAGGGGATCGTGGGCTCTGGGCAGCTCCAGCACGGGCAGGGAGGATGAGCTGGAGCTCACGGGCTCCGGGGGAAGGGCAGGAGGGACCGGGGCGTCCTTCCCGTTGGAGGAATTCAGCTTCCCGTTRAATGTGGGTTGGGTTCTGTGAGCCAAATGCGAGATCCTGGGCTTTTTGTTGGCCAGGGGGTCGATGAACTCCAGAGGTTGGGATCGTTTCTGTTAAAAGGAGAGGGGGAAAGGAGAAGTGAGAGGTGGTGAGGATGAGGGATGGAGATGGGTGTTACCACTAGGTGGTGGTGGAATACCGGGGAGAAGGGAAAAAATATCCCGGG